AATTGGGGAGGATATTTGGAATGGAGACAATGCAATAATCACAAGAACATACTGAAACAAGTGATTCTTCATTAAATTGAATAAAATCTATTGATATAAATACACTCCACCTTCATTAAAAAATGTTCTTATTGGGTTGGGGATATAGCTCAGTGGCACAAGCACCTGTTTGGCAAGTGGAGAATTGTGAGTTCAATCCCTGGTACCAAAAAAAAAAAAAAAAAAAAAAAAAAAAAAAAAAAAAAAGTTATTTGTAGAGGGAAGGAAGAAGGGAGACGAGTGGAAAAAATGTTCTTATGTACCTCCTGCATAGAACTCTTATTTTAAGGATGCAGGTTGAGATTTTAAACTCTAAAATACACAAATCATAAAAAGAGTTTGCTGTTTAATACTAGATTTGAAGTCTACGTGCTCCTAAGGGCACATGGTGCTTATTGTATGGCTGGGAAGGTCTCACTCCATCAGTCTCTCACACATATGTCCCACTTTCACTCCTCCTCCTCGTCGTAGGACACAGAGTTTTACACTTATTACAGGTGGGCAGAGGGAGGACATGAGATACTGTTTTCCTCTGGGAATCCTCTATCAATTCTCCACCCCATTTCACATTGAACAACACAAATTTGGGACAGGGACACTCATTAGTGTATGCACACCAGTCCCCGTCAAATCAAAGACTGAGACCACTCTGGGTTCCCTCCCATGCCTCAGCCTCTGATTCCTTTGATCCTTTCATGCACGGAACCTGCAACCCACAGAGCATAGGACAGCAGCTCCCAAGGCTGAGGTGTTGGGGGACACATTCCACAGAGATGGCTTTCCTGCTTCCTCGCAGACCAGTGGTAATGAACCAGGGTTGGAATCTGATGTTGGAGCAAACATCACATTCACACCCTTCCCCGTCTCCCCCAGTCTCTCTCCTGGTCTCCCGTAGGCAGGCTTTCCTGACACCCCATGTTAAGGGAGATGCCCATGCTCTCATAGACCCCTCAGCTCCGTGTGCTTCAGCTCTGGTTTCCTAGTATGCTCCTTGCTAGGACAGAAGGTTCCGTGCATCCTTTGAGGGTTCAGGTCCCTTTTGCCCCTAGTGTTTACAGAGTAGGTGCCCAGCAAACAGTTTACTCAGTTGAGTGTTCATGCTGTTACTTCCATTGAACTTCCTTTTCAATCAGAACTGTAGCATCACTAACTGGGCCTGCTCTGTACCAGGCTCTCCTCCAGGTCCTTTCTAATCAGGGCAGTTCTGGTGACCCAAAAGAAGTCCCAGGAAAAAGTTACCACTTAGAAGGGCACGATTGGTGACACATAGCAAATGCAAACCAACATTCTAAGGGGTGACGAGAAGGGAGGGCTTCATGGAGAAGGTGATATTTGAGTATGATGGGTGAACATCCTTGCCAGGCAGCAAAGGAAGAAGCCTGCTGGATCTGAATCTCAGGTGACATTGCCACATCTTTCTGTCTTATTCTAGAAGGACCTGGGTTCCTTTGTAAATTTCTGTGAGCATCTCAAAGATGAAGGAAGGTCGCTAGGGAGAAAAATACAGCAGAACCCAAACACCAGGATGATATTCCAGCTTCTCCATCCTCAGTTCATGGAACAATTATAAATGAACACTGATGACAAAAGTTAATACACTGAATAACCGCAGTATGTTAACAGTACTTAAAATTTCACTGTGTAGTTAATTAGATAATCTACCTGTCATACGCTAGTCAAAACTCATGAGTCATCGGTCTCAGCAAAATAATGAAAACACACACACACATTCATGCCGATCCACAGAATAAAGTCTTCAAATTCCACAGACGTGATTTACGAATTTCTCTTAGATTAGTAATTAAAAATATAAATGTGGAATTTTGAAGTATAAATTGGGAGGAAATGATCAAATTTTAAAAATAGCCAACAACTAAATGTTTTACGGTAGAACCAATTCAGGGTTTTATTTTGAAGCAGAAGAATGATTATTTTTTAGAAAATTTCAGTTTCATTAGTCGATCTCATTATCTGTTTGTACCAGATAGTATTTGTTATTATAATAATCAAAATAAGTACATATTTCATATTTTTATCTCCTTACCTGAAAAACAAGAAAAACCAACTCCATGACTTTATTGATCTAGGGGATTTACATTCTAAGGAAAAGTGAATTTTCTTATTTCTATATAACACAGGAATTTAGTAGGCAAAAATGTGGCAGGAAATATGTCCTTCCCACTAAGCACAATTTCAGCATTCATATACTGAACAAAAAAAAATTGTAAATATATAAGAGAGAGGAAAGAATCATGTAACCAGAATGAATGGTTATTTCTGGTTTAAAGAGGCTGAAATGTTCATTTTTTCAGGCAAACACATGCTCCTGAATCTAACCCCATCTCCGTGCATTTTTGGCAAGGTACAGACGAGTGAGGGGACAAGATTGCCAACAGCACCTTAGAGAAAATCGCATGTTGTTTGTATTTATCTGGCTGCAAACAGTCTAACACTACACTGCCCAAGTTGCCCGGGACAAGCATCCTTTATTAAACACGTTTAACAGGATTTAAAATATTCATAAGAAATGCACTTTATTATTACAGCACACCAGACTTTTAAAAATGCATAGAACTGGATATTGGTGGTTCACTGATGTAAATGACAAATTATTTGAAAAAAAAATCTATTAAAATTCTTCCCAACCTCTGTCTGTCTGTGAGAATTTCTCAGCACCGAATTTCTCAGCACCTAAGCATTGGCTCTGGTGGGGGTGGCTCATATCCTTAGGTTCCTCCTTCTGGTTTCAGCTGTGTCACAAAATATCACACCAAACATATTGCTGTGGATGACCTGTTTGGGTACCGGGAAGTTCTGAGCGTGTGGGCAGTGGAGGAGAGGAGCCTGTGGTTGGCATGAAATTTGCACGGGGACACAATGTGACTTCTCAGCATCATGCTGTAGGATGAAACAGCGTCATCCTTTCAGACAAAGTGCGACACGGGAAGTTGCATTTTGGTGAGCAGTAAGTTTTGCCTAGCATCAAGTCGGAAGTGGGTGCTGGCAGGAAGGCGGGCTTTAGAAGAAATGCTTGTGACCATGACAGAAAAAAAATGCTTGTTGCCAATGCCAATCACTCACTGACATCCAAAACACAGAGGACAGTGTTGCCACATGGTGGGCTGAGTATGTGATAGTAGCTTAATCTGCGGGGCAAGTAGCCTGCTTCCTGGTCTTTGCAAATGTATGAGATTTCCCCGTGCCGACGCAAAGTTGAGGCAGGGTGAGTTCATCCATCCCAGGAAAAGGATTTCGGTACCAACGATGGCTAGGTTTCTGGAGTTGCTACCTGCTGTGCATTCCCCTGTTACTCATTCTTACTTAAGGGAAACACAGGCCACCCCAACCCCTGGCCCCAAATATCACAAAGACAGTAGGTTTTCTGCATGAAAATTCTCAGCGCACACAGCCTGTAGGAATCATTTTATAGAAAGACGAGATAGGAGCTAAGTTTGCTCAGCAAAGCATACTGTACTGATTGGTAATCTGCAATGCCTTGGACTCTGTGTATTTATGTGCCACTCTCCTGCTTTGAGATAGGAGGTCATGACCCCCACTCAATATGGACTGTGGGCCTATGACTACTGAGAAAAGCCTAGTGTAGCCCTTTATCTGGGGGCAAAGAAATCACAGTGTCAGGAAAGGATGCCCTTTGTCTCTTCTTCCATCCTGACATTCTACGGCACCAGCATCTTTGCAGTGGGGTGAATAATTATTCTTTTCATCTTCACTGAGTGGCATTAAGAACTTTAAAAAAAATTTCCTCAGAAATCTGCTTTAAGCCAGAGCACTCCAGTTCATAAATCTGAATACAACTGGTGAACGTGGTGTTTGATTCTCTGGAGTGTGTGTGTGACGCTCCCCTTAAAAGGTGGGGCATTAATGCTTCCCAGGTCTTGGGTGCCATTTATTCCCCTGTATTGATAATTTTCTAAATGGTTCCCTTGAGACCAAAAGCATTGGCTATACCCATGTAGATTGCCTTAAGTTGTTCCCTGGGAATAATGACAAATCAGGAGAAATGGATTAAGTTTTATATATGGTGATTCAGACGGTGTTTTAAAAAGTGAAGTAAACTTAAAAGACAGTAAATTGCTCGGATTCTCTCTCATTTTATGTCTTATCATTACTAAAATAATACAATTAGAAGTATTATAAAAATAAAACCACCCATTTACTGTATTATTGATATCACTTCCAATTCTGTACCATTGTATTAATATCTAGCCTTCTGGAAGCCACTCAGATTCTCATTAGACATAAAGGCAGAATGGCATTTGGCCAACAGAACAACATCTCCTGAGAGCCTGTGATTAAAACACTTGACAAGATTAACCCTAAAAACCTCATTCACTCTGCATAAGTCAGTCTCCAACTTTCATACACATCTATAAATATATATATATATATATATATCCCTCTTTAAATATTTATACTTCTAGAGATAGAATTTGTATAAACCAAATAATATCTATTTATTTCCTAAACATAACTTAGTTGAAGCATATTTATCAAACATAAATTTCCAAAAAATCACAACAGGATCCATTTCCCGGAAAGTATTAGAGAAACTTTAAAGACTATCATGATACAATATCCATTGTATGTTTCCTCCAGCATTCCACAATTCCTCCAAAGCAGGGAATGCCTGTCACAGAGCAGAAGACAACAACCCTGCTTTTGCAGGGTGCTAGCTGCATCCTAAAGGACAGAATGGGGTCGCATCCTAACATATTGTGAATTGCTTCTGGTCTGGAGACCAAAGCCTCCAACAGTCCAAACCCACATTTTCTTCCTTGTGGAGAGACTGATCACCTCTGTGCTCTCTCTTGCCTGGAAAAGATTATTGCCATTTAATGACAAGAAAAGAGGCAAGGCTCATTGTTTTGCTTTGTAAGACTTCAACATTTCAGGCTCCTGAGCTCCAAGACATTTGGCTGGGTGTTGCCCAGACCACTTACTGTCCTCTGCAGTCAAGAGTGAAATCCAAGAGCTGTGTGCCCTGCCAAACCCATTGGAGGCGACCAGCCGGAACTCGTACTCCGTGTATGGCTGGAGGTCGCTCACTTCGTAGTGCAGCGATGCAGATGGGTTGGAAAATAATCTACAAGGGAAGGAAATGTTGGTTAGGAAATTTTTGGCCTGCAAAGAAATAAAAATCTGGTTAGGTATTGCTAAAAAATTTAGAGAATGTCAACATGTCCTTCAGGGCTACCATTTGGGGCCATCAAGCAGCATTTCTTTCCAAATAAGTAGCCATTGGCTGGGGTTTGGAAGCTTGTGTTTATAGGAGGTTAGATTCTAGGAGTGCTGAGACTGATTTCCAGGTGAAACCTGTGGGTATGATAATTTTCTAGCCACACCACAGACAGCGGTTTGTTAGTTTCATTTCATACAATACCTGAGTTCATAAAGCCTTACTTCAGTAAGAAGAAATTTTTAGTGTGAAAAAAAATCTTACTTTCAATGTTACATAAATGCAACATAGATGTTTTTGCAAAGCAAATATCCAGTGGGTTGTTCATTGGTTTTTATTTGTGCTTTGGAAGGTAACCTCGGCTTGTTGAAAAGCAGAACTGGCCACTTCTTCAAGGATTTGATGTGTACTTGGAAAAAGCCAGGGGAGAGGAAGGAGGCCCTGGCAGAAGCTCACTCTAGAAAGCCGAGCGTGGAGCGGGCCAGCCTCATCTGGAGCTGGTATCTGGGAGAGCCGGGAGCGTTGTTCCGAGCTGGTGTAGACCAGACAACCTGAAGACTGGTTGGGGTGGCAGATGAAAGCCTGGGAGGCAGCACACCATCTGGAGCTGTCGAAAAACACAGATGAATTAGAGCAGAGAAAACTGTGGCGAGCATATGCCGGGTGGAATAGAAATGCTCCATATACTGGAAAAACTATTCCTCGGGATCAACAACACTGTTACACATGGTCCATTTAATTTAACATTTTCATTCCTGAGCTACTGTACTTCCTTATTGTTCCTGAGTATTTCTGTCCTGAAAAGCCAGCTCCCCACCCCAAAGGGCAAGACAAACGAATACGCCGTCCTTCCCCACCTGTACTTCTGCGGGTCTAATTGAAAACACGGAGGGGATTTAGTGAAGCAAATATTAAAGACTTTTTAATCTACTGCTGTCATCAGCAGACACTGGACAGCCCAGGTCTCTTATGTATTAGATTCCTCCCAGCAGGGTCACCCATTGTCACCTTAATCCCACCCCAACTCATGAACAAAACTGTGTTTGTTTTGCGTTTGTTTTTGCAGGAAAGGAAGTTTGCTAAAATTTGATTTATCTGTAATGATGAATGTAGACTATTGCGAATCTTGATGCTCATTCATGAAAATATGGACAACATTTTTCCTCCCGTGTCCTGGACTGTGCTATACTTCCCAGAGTCCTGCCCTTACAAACATCAGATCAGTGGCTGTGCGTGTGTTACCTTTTCTAGCAGAGCTGAAGCTCAGCTAAATACCTTATAATCAAATTATGAGGGCTGAATTAAGTGCACCTGCTCGATACAATCCATCAGGGAAATCTGGTTGAATGGTGCTACAAGGCCTAACAAGAATAAGTTAAACTAAGCCTGTTCTGCTAAGACATTGCAATAAGATGATTCTGATTATTTTAGATTTTCTACCAGGTATAACATGAATGGGCCTTTCACATCAGTGTTTGTTCTACAACTAGCCAGAAAGATAAAAGTCAATTAAGCAAAGCGCTGTGGTTATAGGGAAATCACCTAATGATGCTAAGCCTCTGTTTGCTATAAAATAGGGCACTGCTTCTCCCATAGGATTGTTGTCAAGACCAAGGCTCTGGGAATTATGAGAGGGCAACCATCATTGGTAGCACTGTTATTGCACTGGACGATCTGAATTTCAATATTATAAAGTGAACTTTTAGGATTCTTGCAATTATCCTAACATAAGTTCATTATAACTACAGATTATCAGAAGGCATTGGTGAAGGGAGAGAAGTGACTAACAATAAAAACAAATGAAATATCAGGGTCTATTCCAATTTTCTTCCCTGTACAACCTGTATAGCTTGCGTGCTCCACCAATCAGGAGACCCTGCCCGTGAACTTGGAGGCCAACAAATGGTCAGGAATCAGAGTGGGAGGATTAGATTACAGAGTCCATCAATCTTCTGTGAGGGTTTTGAGTTCATTCATAATTTATTCATTTGTTCAATACACATTTATCCAGGCTCCATTCTGTGATAAACACTGTTCTTCCTATGGAGGGGAAATGGACCTTGGTACAGTGGAAGGCATTCCTACCTCTGCAGAGCTTCATTTATGGGTAGGGGTGGGCAGTGAACAAAAAGGATGCCATTCAGGGCACTAGGTACCCTGGAGCAAAACAAAGCAGGGTGAGAGAAGGGAAGAGAAAGTGAAAAGGAGCAGGCAGTTGCAGTTATCAGACAACAGTTCAGCTTCAGTGGGGGAGCTGCAGGGAGGCGTGTGGTTTGGAGGTGTGTGGGCAGAAGGGAGGGCACCGTAATATCTGGAGGAAGTCAGCTCAGCCTGAGAACAGGCTGCAGCCTGGTTGCCTTGCAGGAGCCATGAAAAGACCCACTTTGCAGATGCAAAATGAGGAAAGAGAGGAGGGAAGGGAGAGGAGGATGCAGAGCAGGAGGGGTGGCACCCCAGACAGGCTGAGCATCAAAGGGGGCTGTGCATTGTGTTAATGGGGTGCGGTGAGGTGGAGAGAGGGCCATGGCCGCTGCAGACATCCAGGTGGAGCCTGGCTGTGGCTTGGGTTCCAGCAGGAGGTGCTGAGCTCCTTTGTGTGGGGAGGGCTGAGTGTCGCTTAGAGAAGATAAAGGCGTCAGAAATGAGGCCCATGTGATGTTTCTTGCTCAAAGGCATGGGCGAGCGGTGTTGTCCTCACTGGGATGGGAGGTTCTGAAGGGGCGGTTGAGAGTTTTACTTTATCCAAATTATGCATAAAAAGGTGTCTTGAATGATGAACTCTTTAGTGGAGAAATCAAGGGAGAAGTTGTGAAAGTGAGTTCAGATGGCAGCTGTGATGGAGGTGGATGCACTGGGGGAAGCCTGAGAGAGGATGAAATAGACCAGGAGTGGGCAGAGGCCAGAGTGAGCTGAGGAGAGATGTGAGACCCCAGCCGGGGAATCCTGCACCATTCTGAGCTCAGGAGGGGCCCATCCAGCCAGAGACTGAGATGGAGAAAAACTAGGAACGCCATGTTGGAGGCCCAGGAAGGACGCCCAGTAAAAACGAAGGACAGGTCACCAGTGGTGAAGGTTAAGAAATAAGAGGACTGGGATGCCCCTTTGGAGGGGCCTGGTGACCTTCCCAAGGATGGAAGCAGCGCAGAGGTGGCCATGCTGTCTAATCAGAAAAGCTTGGGGAGAGAATGAGTGGGAGGAGTGGATGGATACCGTGAGTCTAGATATCTCAGTTTGAAGGAGTTAGTTCTAACGGCGAGTAGAAAATGGGATTAGAGCTACAGAAGCTCATGGCTGTAATGCCAGTTTTTCCACAGCCCAGGGGGTGTGGCACCCCACACATGGGCTCACTGGAAGGATCCCATGGGAGACTAGAGGACTGGTTAGTGTAGGAGAAAAAAGAGTAATTGCTGGAGCAAAGTCCCTGTGTAGGGACAGGGAGATGAACCAGGGCACTGTGCCCAGAAGGGACAGCCAGGGCTGCTGCTGCCTAATGACAAGAACAAGGACAGTGGCCCATTGTGCAGATGTGAACACAGAGAGTGGTGTGTGGATGGGCAGAATCGGGGATGCGGAAGGGGCAGAGCTCTTTTCTGAGGATGAATGACGACTGTCACAGTGAGCAGAATAAAAGCAGCTTTGGGACACCTGGGTGTCTGACGCAGGAGAATTGGAATGAAAGAGTCTTCTCTGTTCGAAAAGGTGAGGTGCGACTAGGAGATGCAGCAAGTCCGCCTTCCAGGGCCTACGGTCCAGCAGCTTAACTATAAATCCTCACTTTGGAAAACACTCATTGCTAACGCTTTTTCAATGATATTTTGCCAACACGAAGTCTTTCAACAGTGCTCGTTGCTTCTTTGAATGATTTATAACGAGAGTGCACATGTGAGAGACACACTGAAAAAATACACAAAGTAATGTTCAAAGCCCATCTAATGCAGAACGTATAAAACCCTGTCTCTTATTTGATTATTGGTTTTTGCCTTTTTCTGTGTGCAGTACCATGTTATTGACCGTCTGAGTTCTGACCATTAGTTGTCCATCCTCAACATGGAAAACACCAGTTTTAATGTGTCCATTTAAAGGTCACACTATTGAGCAGGGGTACAGGAGGGTCTCAAGGTAGGTCTCATTAAAAATACTAAAGTAGCATACATTCTCTTCCGAATGACAGTGAAAGCCTGTGCTCATTGAATTGGTCACACTGCCCACATATTTCCAAACAAATGATCACCTTGTGTTATTTACACACAGAGACTCATCCTGTATGCTTTCAGTGTGGATGCATACTGGAAACTTCTCTCTCCCCTCCCATCAACCCCTTTTATCCTGGATACAGCAGAATTAATCATGGGGCAGCAGCCATAACTCCACCCCAGTTTCTGAACAGAGGAGCCCTGTATCCATCAGCTTGATATATTGTCTCCAAGATGCCTTGTAGCTCACGGAGCTTCTCTCCAGTTTAATACGACCCTCTCGGGGCAGATACTCTACAGACGACCTCCTGAATCAACACATCACATCCAGTAAACATTAATTCTATCTGGCAACTGGATAAAACAGACACCTTAACCTATAACTTTTCAAAGGAAGGGAGTTTTTAATAAAATTTCAAATTTAACCTTCTTTCAAAGGCAAAATTAATATAAAACATTAAGCAATAAATAAATCACAGCTGGATTGCTGAAAATTTTAGAAAATGTGATTTTATTAAACTGTTGGTTGGTGTACACTAGGAGGCTGTATCTAAAAAAATTCTCCAAACAGACAGAAAATGATTTACACAGGCTCCAAACTTGTGCTCCCCACAGATTTATGGAACTCTGTGGTGCAAGTTCTAAGGCAAAAACAGAGGCTTTTCCCCATAAAGCAGGGGACTCCTACCGCCATAGGGACCACAGGAAGAAGACTTTATGAGAAAAACTGGTTCTTCCTCAGTACATCAGATCCATGTGCTACTCTTTGCAGTGTGGCTTTTTGCATATATACACGCATGTTTCAAAATAATAGAGAACACACTATGATAAAAATACTAAAGAAACATACTCATTTGTATTAAATTCAACTTCATAATAAAAGATATTGAACACCATTTGCTGGGGTTGGGGGCAAATACAGAACAGGTGCCTGTGGAAAGAACATCTACTTTTGCCTTAGACTGATAAGGCCTGACTCAAATAATTCCGGCGCGCGTGCGCGCGCGCGCACACACACACACACACACACACACACACACACACACAGGACAGAGCATAAAAAGGCAGGTGTGCTCTGAGGATTCAGAAGTTGGACATCTCCAGTGATGTGCCCCGGTCCTTGCCTTTCAGGGGTCTGTGGCTTGCAGGCACGCTGCTGTGGGCTCCATCCGGTGGCCCACTCAGCCTACAGACCCTGTCGGCTTCCTTCCTGGGTCTCAGGCACCAGCTCTTCCTGAGCTCACCCCACACAAATGTGACCCTTGGGCCACATCCACTTCGATTCTGACTCCACCCTGAGCTACCCCCCTCACCCAGGAGAGAAGAATTCTGGCCTCTTCGCATAGGTTCCCTCTGTAACCTAAAAGAAATCATGGTCTTTTACCCACAGGCACCCTGGCAGCATCGCCGTGTA